TGCATGTATAATAATGATGGCAGATATAGAGAGCGTGTATGACACGGACGTGGTTCGGAGGGGGAGGTGAAGTGCACGCGACAAAGAAGGCGCGTGAGGAAACCTAAACGAGGGGATGAGTTTGGTGGGAGAAACAAAGAGTTTGGATTTTACGAGTTGAGGACACAACTTTGTTTGAGTTTGAGGACTCAAAGTGTTTGCAAATCTTCGGGAAGGACTTTTGATCGGATCTGTATAAATACCCTCTTGTCCCCTTCACCTAATCTCCACACACAAAGGCCTTTTGTATTCTCCATTTGCATATATATTTCCTCTTCCTTATTACATATACATACAAATATATATATATATATAAGTTTTGTTATTTTTCCATTATTCAATATTTGTTTCGATCGATTTCTCGAGATGACTATCCTTATTGAGCAGCATAACTCGGGTAACAATTCACGATCTAATTCTGATCATCTTTTGTATCGTGATGACAGTAGCGTCGTGATATGACAAGTTTTATTGATTGTTTTCCCATATAAAACAAGTTTTGGACAAATGAAAAATATATGCAACATGGGATTAATGGGAGATATATAATGTTAGATTCAAGAGGGGAGGAGAAAAGGGTGGAAAGGGAGAGGAATGAATTGGTGTTGGACGGAGGGTTTGTGGTACCAAAATCGGTGGCAAGTGATGGCTTCGATGCCCCTCATATCAATTTCTTGGGCCATGCCTTCAGGTTTGTTTTCTTCCTTCTCTCTTTACTTGCTTACTACTCTTTTATTTATTTCAAAAAATAAAATAAAAGAGATATTTAGCATTTCCTTTGGATAAGATTAAAGTCGCGTGTTATATATATATATATATATAATAAATTAAATGGGGGTGTCTGAATTTATCCTATAGGGATTATGAAAGTGTTGTAAGCGAGAGACAGCAAGGAGTTGAGGAGTTCTACCGGCTGCAGCACATTCACCAGACCTATGACTTTGTAAGCCCATCAATCCCCACTCTCTTTCTACACGATATATATATATATATATATATGAACAAGTGGTCATTATATATATATATATATATATATATAGAGAGAGAGAGAGAGAGACGAGAGAATGCCTTATATTATATCCCTAATTAAGTGAAGTCCATGCAAAGCATTCTTCTATACATATATTGTACAAACCTCATAACGTTTTCTCTAAATAAACGTGGTCTCAGGAAAACATTATTATTTTTTTGAAATAACTGTATAGACATATACATACACACACATATATATGCATATATGACTTTCCTTAACGTGTTAAATTCATTCATGTCGGGTAATCAGGTAAGGAAGAAGAGGGAGGAGTATGGGAGGATGAGGAGGATGGAAATGAGCATATGGGAATGCTGCGAGCTGCTCAACAACGTGGTGGACGACAGCGATCCCGATCTCGACGAGCCTCAGATCCAACATCTGCTTCAATCCGCCGAAGCCATCCGCAAGGATTATCCCCACCACGACTGGCTTCATCTCACCGCCCTCATCCACGGTATCACTTGTGATTCATACGATATGATAACTCTCTCTCTCTATATATATATAATTTTCAATAGAATTTATGTTGGGAATTATGAAGAGTTTCAATTCTTCAGATATTATAGGATATTTACTATTTAGATTGGATTTATCTATTTTATCATAGTAAGAGATAGAAATTAGAGATTCAAGTAAAATGAAACCAAGTTGTATTCAATTCTTGATAGGAATGTAACATGTTAATGGGTTTATAATTAAACCCTGAGTTTTCGTTTTCTATATGTGTAATAAATCTTGGGTCTCTATAATTAATTAAAATGATTTCTTTTGGCAGATCTTGGAAAGGTTCTTCTTCTGCCTGGATTCGGAGGTCTTCCACAGTGGGCGGTCGTTGGTGGGTCTTAATAGTCTTTATATAGGTTTCCTTGTATATTATTTCATGTTCAATAAAATTTGTTAATATCCATATATATATATATATAAATATATAACAATTTTTTTATATATAAAAAAAGCTGACTTGTAATAATGTGAACAACAGGCGACACATTTCCTGTTGGATGCGCCTTTGATGAGTCCAATATTCACCACAAGGTAAAAACTACACCAAAATATCACGAGGAGTTATCATATGGTTATGTTTCATTCCTAGTGTATATATAATTATTTAAATGTTTTTAAATTACAGTATTTCAAGGAAAATCCAGATTACTACAACGCTGCTTACAACACCAAAAATGGAGTATACAAGGAAGGATGTGGGTTGGACAATGTCATGATGTCATGGGGCCATGATGACTACATGTATCTGGTAAATATTTATTTTTTTAACATAATAGTCTAAAACATATCATTGATTTTTTTTTTATAAAAAAAAATCTTATTGTAAATTTTCGACGTAGGTGGCCAAGGAGAATGGCACGACTCTGCCGCACGCTGCTCTCTTCATTATTCGTTACCATTCTTTTTATCGTACGTCTTTAAATCATCCATTTCAATTTCAATATACATACACTTTAACTTATTATATGATCGACGAACATATATATATATATGCTGACCAATTGAATAAATAATTAAATAAATAATGGTGTGCAGCTTTGCACAAGGCGGGGGCCTACACACACTTGATGAATGATGAGGACCGAGAGAGCTTCGAGTGGCTCAAAGTTTTCAAGTAAGATATTTTTTTACATGTGATTTTCATTGACGATAATATTTATATCGGCTTCATCAATTTGACTCTTTGTATTTATTTTCAAAATTTTAAATTAATAATAATCATTCCCTCAAAAATGAAAATAATAATGCAGCAAATACGACCTATACAGCAAGAGCAAAGTTCTTGTAGACGTGGAAGAAGTCAAACCTTACTACCTGTCCCTCATTAATAAGGTAATATTCATATTTTTTTTTTATTTTTTACCATGTCTTCCTCGCCTTAATTTTTTTTACAAATATTTATATGATTTTGTATTTTAATGTGCAGTATTTCCCCGAGAAGCTAAAATGGTGAAATAAATAATAAAAGAATTCACGAGTTTTATTTGGAGAGGAGATAATTGAGCACCATTGGAAAGTGAATATCTAAAACTTGATATCTGTTTTTCTTTTCTTTTTTTTGGTTAATCTAAAAGTATTTTGATATGTAAAAATAAATAATTTTAATAGTACTTTTTATTTGTCCATATTTCTTGTTTTCCCTTATAAATCGATACGATAGAGAAAAATGAGAATCTACCATTATAGCTTATAACGTAAAAAACAAATGACAAAACCTTAGGATTCAATTGAAATTAAATTTTTTAGGTGATATATTTATGAAAAATTAAAATTAATTATTCATATTAAAAATATATCCAAAATATCGAATATCGGCTCTACACGCAAATCTACCATCATTATAGTGATTCTTCAACAGTGGCCAGCGGTTAAGGCATAGACCGGGCCGGTCAGGACTGGTCCCGGTACCGCTGATCTGGCTTCCACGGCGGCGGAATCCTCAGCCACAGATTCTGCCACGTCGGAGAATCTCTAAGCGTGAGTTCCGATAGATATTTATACGTGTATATGTGTATGTACACGTGTATGTGAATCTACGTACGTGTCGGTACAGCATGGCAGACCGCGTAATAACTTGAACAACGAAGATCAAAATTTACAGATTTCATTTATTCTTTGACAGTTTTTTTTTCTCCTCTCGTGGGAAATGGAACATCACATCACATTACACACAACAGAAAACAATGACATTTTCTTTTTCTATTAATAAGAAGAAAAGATTCTTAATGCGAAGAAACCACAAAGCAAAAAATACATAAAATCACGAGTATATATATATATATATATATATTAGGAAAGTGATATATCAGCAAATTAAAATAACCATTTCACCCTAAGAATAATTAGTCTATAATCCATTTATAAAATATCTCACCATACACAAGGTAAACTAGTCACTTATCCTCCATTCACCACACAACATTTATAAAATATCTCTGTTGTCATTACATTAAACCGTCCGGTTAGCCATCCAACCCTAAATCTTTTTTTTTTAATCCGGTTAAATAAAAACCGGATCAAATATTCTAAACCGTTTCGAGTGAACCGATTCGATATGTCAGGTGACGTGTCTAATAACGTGATTTTGAGGTATCAAGTCATGTCAGCAATCGGCCGCTGAATTGGTACGATAAATTCCCTTTCTTTGGAAAAATTAAAATTATTTTCTCATTATGTGTGGGTAATTGGGAATATTTAAATTTAAATGTGAAAAATTATCAAATTAAAAATTGGTATATTGATCTTAAACATTTGACTAAATTTGTCGTGATTCTGTGTTATTTTCCTTAAAAAAATATAAAAATTTACCATAAATACACGTCATAACAAAAAAAAAGCGAGTAAAATGAAGTAAGAAATCGTTAGGAATCCGTAACGCCAAACCATAAAACCACCCGTCTTTGACTCTCTCAACAGATTCCCATATTCTCCACTCTCTCTCTTTCC